TTCTTTATATATTCTGGATATTAGCCCTCTATTGGAGGTAGGGTTGGTGAAGATCCTTTCCCAGTCTGTAGATTGTCATTTTGTTCTGTTGACAATATACTTTGCTTTACAGAAGCTTTTCAGTTTCATAAGGTCCTAATTTATTGGTAGATCTTAGAGCCTGAGCTGGTGATGTTCTGTTCAGGAAATTGCCTCCTGTGCCAATGAGTTTGAGTTTGAGTTCTCCTCTTTTTCTTCCAACATATTTAGTGTGTCTGGTTTTATGTTGAGATCCTTGATCCACTTGAACTTTAATTTTGTGCAGGGTGATGGATATAGATCAATTTGCATTTTTCTATATGTGGACATCCAGTTAAAGCAGCACCATTTATTGAAGATTCTTTCAATTGTATGGTTTTGGCTTCTTTGTCAAAAATAAAGGGGTAGCCATTGTAATATCTCATAAAATAGATTTTCAACCAAAATTAATTAAAAGAGATGGGGAAGGTCATTTCATACTCATTAAAGGAAAATTCCACCAAGAAGATATCTCAATTCTGAACATCTATGCCCCAAATAAAATAGTCACATCTTTAAAACATTAATAAAACTTAAACCACACATAGATCCCCACACATTAATAGTGGAAAACTTCAACACCCAACTGTCATCAAAGAACAGGTCAACAAAACAGAAACTAAACAAAGAAACAATGACACTAACAGATGTCATGAATCAAATGGACCTAACAGACATCTACAGAACTTTTCATCCAAACACAAAAGGATTTACCTTCTTCTCGGCACCTCATGGAACCTTCTTCATAATAGATCATATAGTTGGTCACAAAGCAAGCCTAAACAGATACAAGAAGATTGAAATAATCTCTTTTATCCTATCAGACCACCATGTACTAAAGCTGGACCTTAACAGCAGCAGAAATATCAAAAAGCCTACATACACATGGAAACTGAACAACTCTCTACTCAATGACAGCTATAGTTAGGGAAGAAATGAAAAAAAATCAATTAAAAACTTCCTAGAATTCAATGAGAGTGAAGGCACAACATACCCAAACTTATGGGACACAATGTAAGCAGTGAGAAGAGGAAAGTTCATAGCATTAAGTGCCTTCATAACAAAATTCAAAATATCTCATACAAGCAACTTAATGGCTCACCTGAAATCCCTAGAAAAAAAGAGAAGCAGACACACCTAAAAGGAGTAGACAGATGGACGTAATCAAACTCGGGGCTGAAATCAATAAACTAGAAACAAAGAGAACAATTCAAAGAATCAACAAAACCAAGAGCTGGTACTTGGAGAAAATCAACAAGAGAGACAAACCCTTAGCCAGACTAACTAAAAAACAGAGAGACACTATCCAAATCAACAAAATCAGAAATGAAAATGGGGACATAACATTAGACACTGAGGAAATCTAAACAATCATTAGGTCTTAATTCAAAAGCCTCTACGCCACAAGATTTGAAAATCTAAATGAAATGGACAATTTTCTTGATTGATTCCATTTATCAAGCTGAATCAAGATCAGGTAAATAAATTGAATAGTCCTATATCGCATAAGGAAATAGAAGTGGTCATCAAAAGTTTCCCATCCAAATAAAGCCCAAGGTCAGATGGTTTCAGAGCAGAATTCTACCAACCTTCAAAGAAGAGCTAACACCAGTACTCTTCAAACTATTCCACAAAAGAATGCAAATAATTTTAATAGACTTCTTTAGGATGGTCTGTCAATATCATATAATCTGAGGACATGGTGTAGCTTCTTCCTTTCAGACATAGATGGCTGTATATCTTTCTTGCCTAAATATATTGACTTCAACTCCAGTACAGTTTGGAATAAGCATGTTGAGAAGTGGCATCCTACTTTTGGCTCTAATCTTAAGAAGAAAGCAACCAGTGTTTCCTCTTTAAGTATGATTTTTAGCAGCCAGTTTTTCATAGACAGCCTTTATTAGGTTAAAGAGATTCCTTTTATTCCTAGTTTGAATGTCATTAATTGTGTAATTTGAGAAGACTTTAACTCAGTGTGTCTCAGTCATTGTCACAGTATATTTAAAGATCAGAGTAAATATCATAGTGCAAAACACATTGAGTTACAACCCTCAATCTACAGTAAGAAAGTGCTGTCAGTTATTGGGTAGAATACTATGTTATTACAAAGTCTAGTTCAGTACTCAATGACTTTGTAGTATCACACAGTTTAATAAATTTTAGTTGAGGTGTGCCATACATACAAGTAAAGTGTGTAAATTTCAGTTAAATATGCAGTTAGGTACCTTTATGCTTATACCTATACCAGTATACCAGACATAAATGTATACCCAAGTAACTGTCATCTATAACAGTACTCCAGAAGATGCCCTTCTAGTGTCCCATTCTAGTCATTAATCCCCCTCTAGTGATTATTACTTTGATTTCTATCACCGTCATTAACAGTGTCCATTCTTCTCCTTCAGATAAATAAAATTAAATAGCTTGTAGTCTCCCCAACACTGTCCGATTCCTTAAAGTAATAACCATGAGATTAAGCCATGCTGTTTATGTCTGTTTATCCCTTTTATATTTCTTGAAGTATTCCATTGCATGAACATGCAGCAGCTTATCTGGTCTTCTCCAAAAAAACTTTTTAACATTTCTATTTGGAGCTCTGATACATAGAACCACTGTGAATAATCTTATACATGCCCTTTGGTGTGCACAAACATCAGTTTCTATTGCATACATACCTAGAAGTGGAATATTCTATCTCAAAGGAGGTTTATATTCCATTTGGGACTATGGTAGTGCCTGGGTTTTTCCAAAGTGATCTCAAGAATTTACATTCCCACTGGAAACATATAAGTGATCTTGTTGCTTTATATTCTTGGCAACAGTTAATAATGTCTTCTAAATTTTGCTGTAGTGAATTAATGCATATCATGTGTCTTCTTAAGAAGTTTGGTTATCAGGTATCACAGCATTCAAGTACTAGAAGAAATACTGGTAGAATGATTTGGGGGAAAAAGAATATTGTTATGTTCAAATTTACACAATTGTTCCCAAACATCTTAACAGAGAAAAATGCATAAGCATTGTCTACTAAGTCAAGATCATGTATGTAAAAATAAGGGAATTACACCGGACTAGGAATGAGGCCTATTCGGATCAATATTTGTGATAAAGTTGTATGGGTAATCATTGATGTTAGGCTTCATATTTGTCAATGGAATGATATGAGTACTTCATGCATTTCCTCATTGTTCTCCCTTATATAAGACTTTCTGCCTCACTGAGAACTGGACTGCCCACAGCTTGAAAGAAAAAAGTCCCACTATCCTCAGCACAGATTAGATTACTTCTTCACTGGTCTCAAAGCTGGAGTTAAAGTGTAATACAGGGACAGATTTGAAAAGCCTTGTTAGTGGATTGGTTCACAATTAGCACTGGGAAAAAAACAATTAAAGACAAGAATAAAAGGCTTATAGGGACATGGTAAAAGTGTTCACATTTTTTTTAAAGACAGGGTCACACTGTCATCTTGGCTGTCGTGGAACCTGTTAGGTAACCTAGGCTAGTATCCAACTAGGCAAGATCCTAGGTTAGAGATCCGCTTGACTCTGCCTTCCAAGTACTGGGATTAAAGACATAAGCCACTCTGCCTGGCTAAATATTTACATTTCTGATGGTGCTATTATGTAGAAAAAGAATTACTTCTTTTTAATTTTTTTTTTATTTTTAAGTAATGCCTGTATTTATGGGAAACCACATTGTATTTCAATATATGCAATATATTGTGTAACGTTCAGATCAGAGCAAATAGTTAATCTTCACAATTTTCATTTCTATGATGAAAAGGTTAAAAAGTACCTCCTAATAGTTTTGAAAATTATAGTATATTGAGGCATGATGACGCACTTCTATAATCCCAGCACTTAGGAGGTCAAGGCAAAAGGATCACACAAGTTTTATGCCAGCCTGGACTAGACTACATACATAGTGAGGCTCAAGCCTGCCTGGCTACAAGTGAAATACTGTTTTAAGAAACCAATAAATAGATAGATAGATAGATAGATAGATAGATAGATAGATAGATAGATAGATAAACAACACTTGAAAATGCAGTATATTATTGCTATCTATAGTCACTCCACTATACGCAAAGCACCAATATTTCCATTTTTTCCCTAATCAGATATAGCCCAATACCTATTGATCATCTTTTGCTTTTGCTTTTTTTAGTTATTTATTAATTCTTATTTTATGTGCATTGGTGTTTTTCCTGAATGTATGTCTGTTGAGCATGTCAAATCTTCTGGAACTGGAGTTCAGTACACTTGTAAACTACCATGTGGGTGCAGGGAATTGAACCTGGGTCCTCTGGAAGAGCAGCCAGTGCTCTTAATCACAGAGCCGAAGCTCTCCAGCCCCTGATCATCTTTTTATATCCCTCCCTTTCCTCTGCTATCCCCAATCTTTAGTAATCACCACTCTGTTCTGAATCCTGAAGTAAGTCTGTTAAAGAGGCATCTGCACTCCCAAGTTTATTGCAGCACTTAATAGCCAAAAATAAAAAATTAAAATTAAAAACAAGGGAAACAGTCTAAGTGTCCACAAATGACATATGGATAAAGAAAATGTGCTACCTATACAAATAATGTCGTTAACTTTAAGTCTTTGAGTGGAACCCACAAAAAAAAAAAAGAAGTCTTTAGTTTAATGGAAGAGAGACTTTTCTTGTTGTGTTTTACATATATACTACATGTAAGAGAGGTGCATTGGCATCAGGTGACCAGCTAGTTAGTAGTGATATTGCATGAAGAGGGCTTAAGCATCACATATGTTTTAGAACTGGATTAAAGTAATCACTAAAGTACCATGTCAAATCAAGAATGTTCTATAACTCAGGAAAGTTCCATTTCTGTTCAAATACAATTTAATACAATAAGGTTAAGTTAAACCAAAGAGGCAAAAAAGTGATGTTGATGGGTAGTATCCTGTGGCATTTGCTGTTCTAGATTTTGCTCTTTGGTCAAAGAAATGCTAAACAATGGAGTGGGCAGTACAGTGGAGTTGGAGGGAGAGGCTGATGGAGACACCGTAGAGGTAAGTCACAGATGATCCAGAACTAGGAAAACATCCTTTAATAATATGTTTGCTGCTTAAAGAAAAAAAAAAGTCACAATTTTCATTTGAAATTCTCTATTGAGTATAGTTAAAGAAACTTTTGAATGGCCCAGGCATAATTGTCCATGGTCTCAGAGATTTAAGTTTAAAGCATCTCTGTAGAAGAATCTTATGATCATGGGATCTTGCCAGCCAGAACATTAAGAAAAATTGGCCATGGGTTGCATTAAATTTTTCCTTTGTGATTAACTATGTAAAGTGAATTTTTCTAAGTTAATAATGCTTATGAGATTCCAAGAGAAATAGTTGACAAAGTGGAAACAGAATTTTGCCTAAATGGATTTTAGTTATATCTCCTTAACACATGGTATATTAAAAGTGATGTTTTTAAATCACTTTAAAGAAAGTGACATTATCATAACTTCATTTGGCTAGCACAGTTGTAATCTACAATGACTATATCATTTATGTGTGCTTAAATATTGCAGTCATTCATATTTGCCACTAATTCAAGTTCTTCCAGTAATTACAATTTAGTGAGATTTTATTATATTTTTTAAGTTTGACTGAAATTAATTCCATAAGGTTTTCTTCAGAAAGTTCCAAAAGGGTTCATTTTAGTAACTGGGTCAAGTACAAGAGTTATGAGCTTACAATAAAAGTGTGTTATAGAAGCAGACAGGGTGATTGCCTTTAAAGGCAACAGCTGTGAGAAAGAGAGAACGCTGTGATTGGTCTGTGGAGTGGGATCATTTCTAGTTCTGCCAGACAATGGAGACCCTTAAGTTATCTTAATCGACATGAGCATCTTTAGGTATATAGGAAGGAATATAAGCATTATTCAGCGTATTGCCCTGGGTATTTTCGAAACCGTGGGGTTTCTAGCAATACCTCAGTGTATTGCTGTGGGCTAAGAAGAAACAGTGGGAGCATGTCAAACTCCAGAGATATTCATTGCTTTCTCTCTGTTTTACATAGGAGTTGCTTAAACTACTGTCAGCTTTGTTTTAATCGTTAACAAGAATAAACTTGAATGTAGCTGCATGCAGTGGTTTATTATTGTCATTTTCAACTCACTGTGTGTGTTCATGTTTTGTGTGGGCACACGTGTGGAGGTCAAAGGATAACTTTGTGGAATTTATTCTCCCCTTTCTTCTTTCTGTGGGTTCGGAGGGTTCAGCTCAGGTCACCAGGCTTACAATGTAAGCACCATTACCCACTGAGCCATCTCACTGGCCTTGTTTTTGTTTTCTTAAGAGAGGTTTTCCTCTATAGTCCAGGCTAACCCTGAGCTCTCGTGAACTTCCTGCCTTAGTGCTGGAAGTTATAGACATGTGATATATAGCAGGCCTGTAACAGGCTTTGATAAGACCAGTGAAATAGACTAGCAATCCTAATTGTAAAATGTACTTGCAACATATGTTAATGTATATGATGGAAAGGGAGCATGTGTATCCACTATATTAAGATACTATTAACCCTTATTAACTTTTAATTCTCTCCTGGGCCATGGAAAGAGGTTTGTTTCCTGACAAGTTGATAAGAGATCATGCAGGAAGATATTTATTTGTGGTACTTAATATGCTTAGAAAGTTTTAAGTTACAGCATTAAAATGGTGAAAAATCTCCAAAAGGTGAGCCAGGTAATTTACAGGTGAGTGTTATTATTTTTTTAACTTTCCTGAATTCCATTCCATTAAGTCATTCCATAAACACATGAACAAATGAGAATAACTGTTAAATAAAAAGTGTATAATCTAAGAACTATATTTTCCTTGCCACTCAAATAATGCTTTATAGTATTGAAAACTTGTTAGATAACTCTTGGGCTTCTCTTCAGTAAGGTGTATCGTACCTTTTTTTAATTTTAATTTTAATTTTCTTTGGTCCTATTGTTTTGCCTTGTTTAGTATGAGTATGACCATGATGTGAATGGGGAGAGAGTTGTCTTGGGGAAAGGCTCCTATGGGATTGTGTATGCTGGCCGAGATGTCAGTAATCAAGTACGAATAGCCATCAAGGAAATCCCAGAGAGAGATATCAGGCAAGTTGAGACTGCCTTCAATATTTTTTCTATATTGCTATTTCAACCCTCTTTATCTCACACCTGACACTGATGGTGCAAGGATATAATGATTTAATCTATGTCAGTAGAAAGATGTGGCCAGCTTATGCTGTTAGAACTTGTAATGCTCTTATTAAATGGTGATCTGCTTTTGTTCTCTGCATATTATAATTACATTGAGAAAAATCAAACTACTTAGAGTTTTATGGATTACAGGTCGTATTTCAAAAGAAAACTGTATTTCTACCCACAACTATGTCTGAAGTTTTACATTTCATGCTGATATTTGAAAATATCTTAAAACGTAACTGAGAAACTCTTTTTCTCTTTGTTTTTCAGTGCTGAGGATAGAGCCCAGATCCTCAGGCATGATAGGCAAGCACTCTTCCAACTGAGCTACATCCCCAGCCTTGACTGAGTGCTTTTAAATTTACACTGTAAAAAGTGAAAATGGCTATGATTTGTCTGGATATGTCATTACAGAACTTAAACAGTTAAAAATTAGTTTCACAGTACAAGTTTTGTTAATAACTGTGCCCTTCAACTTTACCCATAGATTAGGGGCTGTTTCTACCATCTGTACTATAACTTTCTCAGCAATTTTATTTTATTATTACATTTTTAAAATTTTTTATACAGTGGATATTGATCATATTCTTTCCCTTCCCCATGTCCCTACCCACCAAACTTCATGTTAAGCTCACATCATTTGAAATTCATACTCCATCCAAATCTAAACACAAGCTCGGCAGTGATTACTGTTGAGAAGCTATACATGTAATGATGACCCCAACACAGATAATCATCCATGAGTCACAGACATATCCACCATAGTTTCAGTGTTGCATCCAGCGCTGGGTGATAATGGATTTGTGCAAACATCCCTCCATCTAGGTGACCACTGTCTGACGCTACATTACACAGGATTTCTAGCAACTGTATGATCCATTCATTCACTAATTTGTTCACTTTCAGTGGGATACTATAGTATGTGAATTACAATGAAGACCTGAAACCAATCTGAAAATCAAGTTTGAAAGAGATTAACGGACTTCCAAAAGGATATAGAGAAACAAGATGATTATTCCACCCTCTTGAGTCCCTCATCCAATAGTCTTCCTTATTCATTCAATAGAATGTTACAGTTGCATAGATCCAGGGATATTCCTACATGCACTGCAACTGGTAGTACTAGTTGTTCCAGCTTTTCCTTGCCCATAGACTTTCCTGGGATTTTTGAGCTGGAAAGGGCCTAAGAAAGCATTTTGTCCAACTCGTAAAAATTTAGGCTGAATTTAGGATGACTGGGCATGTTTTCCATCAGTGAATCTGGGCTGGTGCTAGGGAATAAGAGGTGACTGGGATATTATCCTGATAGTTGGGTGATGCTTCAGTAGAGAATGCAGATAGTATTTCTATGAGTTAAAATGAAAAGTGCTGTAACAGAAGGGTATACAAAATGTCTTTAGAAAACGGACAGAGACTGACTTCTTGGATGTGCTGTGGCAAGTTTGAGAAAACAAATCATTCAAGCTGGTTTTGTTGAAGAATAAGTAGGACATATCTTGGTAGAAAATGAGGCTTATGAGGGAAAAACAGAGCTGTTAAAAAATAAAAATACATTGAGAAAACAACCAATTTCTACAAAGCTTCATTGCAGGGTATGGGCTAGTGAAGGTCTCTTGAGGTAAAAATGTTAAAAGTATCATCTGACCTGATTTGGAAGGTCCTTTTGTGTCACCTGAAACAATATGCTCTTTATGTGGAGTCTACGAAGAAAAGTGGCAAAGTGAAATTTGTGCTTCATAAAGAGGTAGAGGGGATGAACTTGAAAGTCCAGAGGCTGGGACTGGGTAACTCATTAGTACTGGGCTGAGTCTGTAGAGTAAGACTAGAAGTCAGTTTAAGATAAAATTTTCCAGACCACCACTTTCCATTAGAGGAATAGAAGGATTGTTGAAAGAGGTGAAAGTTTGTTGGAGAATCTATGCCCAAGCAATAGTGATGGTAGAAATAGTAGTCATTAATTGGGTTTATGAGTGTCTGTTTACCACATAGTAGACACTCTGTCAATGGTTGAGAAACTTGGGGCCTTTTGGTCCCCTGGAAGTCCTACATGGCTATGGTGTTACAGATTGAATATTCCTTATGTGAAATTCTTACAAGAATCAAGAAGTGTTTCAGATATATTTTTTTTTACAGATTTTGAAATCTTTGTGTATACATAATGAGGAATGTGTAGGGTATGTGACCCAAATCTAAACACAGAATTTTTGTAGTAGCCTGAAGGTAATTTTTGATAATACTTCATTGTGTCTACATTTTGACAGTGACCTATCACACAATATCAGGTGTGACATTTTCCACTAGTTTCATGTTGATAATCAAAATGTTTTGGCAAATACGGCCTTTTGAATTAGGGATACTAAGCCTGTATCCCATGTTTTACAGATGGGAAGTTGAATATTCTTGTGGAAGCTGAGGGAGAGATTCCAGAAGGGGTGGTTAGCAGTTAAGGGACCATCAAGGCCAAGAGCCCTGTAATTTGGCAGGTGATGTGGGCTTTGCTTTTGTTTTGTTTTTGTTTTTGTTTTTTTGCAATAGGTACTCTCAGCCTCTGCATGAAGAAATAGCCCTGCACAAGTATCTCAAGCACCGCAACATTGTCCAGTACCTGGGCTCTGTTTCAGAGAATGGCTACATTAAAATATTTATGGAGCAGGTGCCTGGAGGTAAGTAGTTGATCTTTTCTGATCTCATATATTGAAAAACATTCATAAGAATACAATATGGACATGATTGATTGTCTCACCACTTAACAACAAAAGAAAAACAGACCGTTTAGATATTTGAAAACGTTGGTTTCTCAGAAGAGTTGTATACAACTTTGCAAATGTTACATAAACAGTTCATTTCTGGCTTGTTTATTCAGCCTAAAATACTCACTGTCTTCTGAGTGCTAACATTGGAGACAAGGGGTGAAAAGAGCAAAAGCTCTAACCTTGAGCTCTGCTCTTCTAGGTATAGAAACTTAGAGGTGATTTGGAAAACGATGGAAAAGGACCACTGGAACTTTTTTTTTTATAATTTTACACATATATAATATATTATTATCTTATTTACCCCACATCACCCTCTGTTGTCTTTTTCCCACTCCTACTGACCCTTTCTTCTTCCCAACTGGTCCCTTTCTTTTATATATTTTTTGTAGCCCAGTGGGTTTAATTAGGTTTGCTTATGTGAGCATGGTTGGGGTTTGTTTTTGTTTTAATTGGAGCATGGGTAACATATCAGTGTCTACACCACTGAAGAAAATCACCTTCACAAATATTAACTGCTAATATCCTCACTGGCCCTCCCCTGTCCATCATAGAACATTGAAGGACCCAATTGTGTGTAGCTCATACTCAGGAGAATTTAAGTTGCTAGGTGTTTATCATTACAGTGGCCATGTCATTTCTAAATGACATTGTTTCTCAGTGCTCCTCCCCATTCTCTGGCTCTCATATCATTTCCATTGCCTCTTTGTAATATTCTCTCGTCCTCGAAGAAGAGTGTTAGAGGTGTCCCATGTAGGACTCGGCACCGCTGGCCACTAGCAAAAGGTTTGACTGACCGAATGTGTAAGGAGCACTAGTCTGTAGGTATAAACGAAAATATTTAGAAGGCAGTTTGACATGTCTGTTAGCTAAACGATAGTAACAGACTCTCCTCCAGGGCCTATGAGCTCCCCAATTACAGGCTTTTGAACAGATTTGTAGTACCAGGCATGTATTCCCTCTTGGAGAACAGAATCAAACCCAAGAGAAAATGATTGGTTGTCCCCCACAACCATTATGGTACTGTGGCCTCAGCGGCTACATCTTGCTAGGCTGGTCAGCATTGGAATATGTAGGGTTTAAGCACTGTGTGTACCATTGATTACATTTTTCCCCTACCAGCCTGCATAGTCCTTTACAAACCCATGGGAAGCAGCCAGCAAAGAAGAAGTTCCCTGGTCAGTTCCAGCTTGATTTCTCTTCTAGGTCCCGTGAGCAGTGTTGTGCCTTCAGCAATAGTCCTACTGACTAGTTCTGGTGGGCAGTCAAGAGCAATGGCATTCACCTGTATTGTTTTCAGAGTTGTTGGGGCCATGCTGGGTCAGAAATTCATAGTAACACACCTTGCACTGAAATTTTCATCTTAAACCCTATGGCTTGGACTAGAGAGATGGCTTTAGTGGTTAAGAGCACCTGCTGCTCCCAGTACCCACATAATGGCTCAAAACTGCCTTTAGCTCCAAGCTACGCACAATTTTATGTGATGGGCTACACACAATTAGGTCCTTCAGTACTCTAACAAGGATCTGCAACCCTCTCTCTACATCTACAGTCTCTTTCATGCACAGGGTACACATACACAAATTCAGGCAAACACACATACACATAAAATAAAAGAAATTTTAAAAAATTTGAAGGCTTCTGAGAGAAGCAATGCCTACCTATGCAGGATACTTCCCTTCGAATTTTTTTTCCTATTTTTAAAGTTAGTTTACATAATAATGGGTTTTTATTGACTTTATTTTTATGTTTTTATTTTATTTATTACAATTTATTTAGTTTGTATCCCCACTGGAGCCTCCTTCTTTGTCTCCTCCCAGTCCCACCCACCCTCCCTCTTCTCCCTCTATGCCCTCCCTTCCCCTAGTCCCCTGATAGGGGAGGTCCTCCTCCCCTTCTATCTGACCCTAGCTTATCAGGTCTCATCAAGAATTAAGAGGGAGTTTTCTGTGTAGCTCTGGCCATTCTAGAACTCACTCTGTAGCCTGGCCTTGAACTCAGAGATCCTCCTACCTCTACTTCCCTAGTGCTGGAATTAAAGGCATGTGCCGCCACCACCTGGTTTATATGGCCTTATTATGTATCCTTAGTTTTGAATACCCCCCCATCCCCAAGCTTCCTACCTTTCCTCCATCTCCCTATGCCCATCTCCTTTTTCTTAGTTAGGTTTTTGTTGCTGTGAAGAGACAACATGACCATGGGAACTCTTATAAAGGAAAACATTTAATTGAGGCCTGGCTTACAGTTTCAGAGGTTTAATCTATTATCATCATGTCGGGAAGCATGGCAGTGTGCAGGCAGACATGGTGCTGGAGAAGGAACTAAGAGTTCTACATCTTGATCCATAGGCAATAGGAGACTGTGCCACTGGGCATGGCGTGACCATTATTCATGCCTCTACAGTGACCTACTTCCTCTAACACAGCCATACCTACTCCAACAAGGTCACACCTCCTAATAGTGCCACTCCCTGTGGGCCTAAACCCTTTAAACCTTTTTATATATGGTATCCCTAACACTTTCATATCATACCGGGCACAGTTTCTCCCTCTCCCTCTCCCTCTCCCTCTCCCTCTCCCTCTCCCTCTCCCTCTCCCTCTCCCTCTCCCTCTCTCTCTCCCTCTCCCTCTCTCCCTCCCCCTCTCCCTGTCCCTCTCCCCCCTCCCTATCCCTCTCTTCCTCTCCCTCTCTCCCTCCCCCTCCCTCTCCCCTCCCTCTCCCTTTCCCTCTCTCCCTCCCCTTCCCCCTCTCCCTCTCTCCCTCTCCCTCTCTCCCTTCCCCTCTCCCCCTCCCTTTCCCTCTCCCTCTCCCTCTCCGTCTCCCTCTCTCCCTCTTTCCCTCTTTCCCTCTCCCTCTCTCTCTCTTATTTTTCTTTTATGGGGAACAGAGGGTAGACAGGGCTTCTCTGTGTAGTGTTCACATTCCTGGACTCACTTTGTAGACCAGGCTGGCCTGTCTCTGCCTCCCCAAGTGCTGGGAGGTGTGGGCCACTGTGCCCAACTGGGTACAGTTTCTTTTAAAGAGATCTTGCAAAGTAACAAATGGATAATAAGGGGGCTGGAGAGGTGGCTCAGAGGTTAAGAACACTGGCTGTTCTTCTGAGGGTTCTGAGTTCAATTCCCAGCAACCACATGGTGGCTCACAACCATCTATAGTGAGATCTGGTGCCATCTTCCAGTCCACAGGCGCACATGCTGGCAGAACACTATATAAAAAATAAATAAATATATCTTAAAAAAAAAAAAAAAAGATCAGACTGGAGATAGCTCAGGTTAAAAACAAATGGATAATAAAACCAAATACTAGTACTTTATGTATGAAGTCCCTACATATAGGCAATAGAGTATTAGAAGGAAGAATTCTTTGGATCTAGAACTGGTAGTTTGAATGGGTCTAGCCATTAAGGCTATGGGATCTTAGTTTTCTGGTTAATTAAATACACTGTAAAATTAAAGTAGCATTTACTATAATACTCAAAGTAAGCATCATGGGAATATTAAGTAGATCTACCTCAGTCACACCATTGGGTGATTGGTACGTGCAATAGCATTTGGAAAAGTGCCTGTCAGTGAGCAAGAGCCGGGTAAATGAGTGTACGTTGAAATAATAATAAATCTCATAACATTCTAATTGAACATGGATCATCATCATCTGAATACCAGTTTTAGGTTAGAAACAATGCTTTAATTTACTTCCTTGACCCCTTACAAATGAATCTTTGTCATCATGGTGAGTTGTTTGTTGTTCTTCTAGGAAGCCTTTCTGCTCTCTTACAATCCATATGGGGACCAATGAAGGAACCCACTATCAAGTTTTATACCAAACAGATCCTAGAAGGCCTGAAATATCTCCATGAAAACCAGATAGTCCACAGGGACATAAAGGTATGGAAATCTCTAAGCCATCAAGGTGGTATTTTTCTAAGCTGTCACTATAGTATGGTTGAATAGTCTGTTCACAGAGAAAGACACTTTAACAAGACAGCCCCACCCCATGTCAGACTAGTCTTTGTAAAGAGAGATTATCAAGGTCCCACACTATAGGGTGCTGGTTTGTTTAACTCTTCCTGTACACACTCAATGCTGTTCTTTTTCTAAAGGGTGATAATGTTCTGGTGAACACCTATAGCGGAGTGGTAAAAATCTCTGATTTTGGAACCTCTAAACGCCTCGCAGGAATTAACCCATGCACTGGGACCTTTGCAGGTAAGAAAAGCAAAGCTGGTTATGTTGTGTTGTCCTGGATCTAAGCTTTCTCCTGAATCTGTGATCATTTAAGAACTACTTGTTGCTCACCTCAGCATAGAGTATAATTTTGATTTTTCAAAATTTATTTAACATTTTTCTATAGAATATAGTTCGATCATACTCTTTAGGCTCCCTAACTCTTCCAAGATCCTTCCCACCTCTCTACCCACCCAATTTCATGTTCTCTCTCTCTCTCCTTTTTTCCCTCCCCTTCTCTTTGTGTGTGTTTTTTATAAATGAGAAAACAATCTTAAAAGAAAACCATTAAGATAAAAACTACTAAAACAAAACAAAAAGCGTACGAAAAGCATGGAGTCTGTTTCATTTTGGCAATTACTTCTGGGCATGCAGCCTGCCTGCCCTGGACTGTGGTTGATCTACCAAATGACAATCTAAGATTTTCCCTTTTACAGCAGGTATCTATTACAAATAGCTTCTTGCTTAGATATGGCACTTTATGTCTTCTCAGTGTTGGAACTTTTGTCTATTTTGAACTTGTATAAGTCTTGGGCATATTGTAATACTTTATGAATTCATGTATGTATCAGTCCTGTTTTGTCTGGAAGACACTGTTTCCTTGAAGTCATCCACCACTTCTGGCTCTTCAGATTTGTCTGCCTCCTCTTCTTCGTAGATCCCTGAGCCTTGAGGGAGAGTTTTGATAAAGACATTTAGGGTTGAATGTGCTTAAGTCTCTGACTTTCTGTACATTGACCATTTGTGAATCTTTGTGTTAATTCCCATCTTCTACAAGAAGAATCTTCTCTGATGAGGGTTGACTTAAACATTTATCTAAGGGTATGACAATATTGGGAATCCTTTTATTTCTATGTTCCTTTAGTACAGTGATTCTCAACATTCCTAATGCTGTGACCCTTTAATACAGAGCCTTATGTTTTAGTGAACCCCAACCAAAAATTATTTTGTTGCTACTTCATAACTTTAATTTTGTTACTGTCATGAATTATAATTTAAATATATGATACATAAGATATCTGGTATGTGACCCCCCCAAAGGAGCTGGGAACCCACAGGTTGAGAACCACTGCTTTTACAGTTTAGGTGTAGTAGGTTTTACCCTAGGCCCATGAACTATCTAGTCTCCTACATTCTTGGCCACTTTAGCAGTGTCAGATATGAGTTCCATCTCATGGAGTGGGCCTTACATCCAATTGATAAAGAGACTGGTTACTCCAATTACATTTGTGCCACTATTGTACCAGTATATTTTTGTGTGGTTGGTGACTGTCATAGGTGGAAGGGTTTATGGCTGCATGATATTAATGCTTGCTTTTCTCCTCTGCTACTGTACAAAGTACTTTCCAGAATCACGAACACTAATAAGTAGGAGGAAAACTTCTAGTTGGGCCCTAGGTCAATTTCTCCATGTTCAATGTAATAAGTAGGTTGTGTCTTCAACAATAGGGACTTCCATCAGGTTATGGAAAGTAACCAATAACCTTGATGATACTAATGGTGTTTAGACTAATGACTCACCAAGATGTAACTCATTCCTAGCAGTGGAAATTTCACTTGGTAGCATAAAATGTCTAGTTGGGGCATTGTCTCTCCCATTATATAATAACTCCATTTAACTTCCTTTCATATACTGATATGTTTTAGGAAGCTTCTAGAGTAGCAATTTTCCATATGACTTTTCAAAAGGTTTTAATGTTAATTGTCTACCCCCATATTACTTCCTTTACTATGTCCAGCCATCCTCTCCCCACTTAATTCCCCTTATTTTAGTTTCCCCTTATATATTTTGTTTGTTTGTTTGTTTGTTTGTTTGTTTGTTTGTGACAGTGATTCTCTGTGTAGCATTGGCTGTACTGGACTCACTTTGTAGACCAGGCTAACCTCTGCCTTTACCCACTGCCCGATGCCTTCTGCCTCCTCTGCCCCCTCTGCCCTCTCCGCCCTTTCCACCTTCCCTGCCTCTACCTCCGACTCTGCCTCTGCCTCCCCAAGTACTGGGAATTACAGGCATGCACCTCCACACCTGGTTCTGTATATATTTTTATAACACTATGCTCTATTTCTCCTTCATTGGAAGCTCCTGTCTTCCTCCTGATCCCTTACTAGCTACCTCTGGTTTTTGTTTGTTTGTTTGTTTAGGTTGAAACACACATATATAAAACTTAAAAGCTTACATTCTCATATAAGAGAAAACACACAATATTTGTCTTTTGGGTCTGAGTTATCTCATTTGGGATGATTGTTTCAAGCTCCATCTATTTTGATTTTCAATGCAGATGAAGTATTGTCCTTAACTTTAAAGTGTTTAAACATTGTTATAGTGGTATACTTATCTGATAAAGCTATCTGTGACACCAGTATCACCCTTCTTTCTTCTTGGCCTCTTACAAGTTGGGTAGACAAAGAATTCTGCTGAGATATCCTAAGGGTTCTTACTCAGTAAAATGGCAGTATGTCTTCACAGTTGGTAGCACACCAGACAAAATCATGGGTAATCTTCTGTAAATTATTAGGAAATTTTATTGGTCTGTTATAAAAGTAGCACTTTACTATAGTGAATTCTGACACTTTACATTTTGATATGATTATGTTTCCAATGGAGGCTAATTCTTCTGGGGAAATATATTTTATGTGAGTTTGAAGAACTGCATTTCCTTGTCCATCTGATGGTGATGAAACACTCTGAATATTGACAGGGACTGGATTCAAAGGTGATATAAATTACCAGTTGGTTTTCCATTTACCAGACCAGTAGGTAGAAAGCCTCTCACAGGCTACCCATGGCTTTTTGAAATTACTTCTTAAAAGCAACTATAGCTAAAACTTTGAGCTTCACTACAGTATTTTGCCTCCCTTTAGAACACCCAGTTGTTTTGCCTCCCTATAAACATCCTGTCTTAAGCTGTCTTCCAGCCAGGCGCAGTGGCGCACCCCTCTAATCCCAGCACTCTGGGAGGCAGAGTCAGGTGGATCTCTGGGAGGCAGAGGCCCCGCGTGGTTTACAAAGCAAGTCTAAGACAGCCAGGTCTACACAAAGAAACCCTGACTCAAAAAACAAAACAACAAGTTTTTCTCCAAAATGGAAAGTTAATCTCCTTAGGAATCTGTTACACAACAAATGGAAATCCTCATAAAAACAGATCTCAGTGGGTTACCAAGGATGAAATGGGTCAATACTGATGACATATTTTGACTGGCACCTGGGTTATTGCAAGTGAAATTGAAGTATTTGTTAATTAAATAATTTTCATTTAGAGTTTATAGGATGTTAGAGCTTTGGAGTCAGAGCATGCCTTTCATTGAACTTGAGTTTCCATATGGAACTATTATGTTGAACCTATGGGTCACAAAAGGTGTCCTCACAAATGTATTTGTCTCCTCTTGTCCCTTACCTTTAGCCCAGAGCGGTTTGTGGTTTGCCCCATAACTTTTCCAGCTGCTTTGGATGACAAAATCACAGTGGAACTTGAGGGAACAGCAGGTCAGAGTGGGTGATAGGAAAGGTATAGGCTGTATACTCTTCAGTGCTCTGGTCCCCGCTCATGATGGTTACTCACTTGCCTCCATCCCTGCCAGCCTCGGTGTTGGACATTTACCTCTACTCTGTAGTCAGTAGTGTTGGCTTCTTCTCTCACCTCTTTCCTAAGTCACCAACTGCAAGAAGGTGAAGAAAAGACTGGCAGTTTGGGTCTTAAGTAACATCATTGTAAGCTGCATCTCTATAGTCTGGGGCCTGGTGTTTGAAGTTCATTTTTCTTGCTGGATCCCTCTGAATGTGACCCATGTCATGGATGGGTGCCTAGGCTGACTGTTGGCAGAGTGTCCCCTGGACCTCTCTAGTTACTTATTCTTCAGGTAGTACTCACTGTTCTTTTTCTTTCCATGGAGGCATTCAACCTTGCGAGACTGTTCCTTCAGTTCTTTGAAAAGAGCTCAAACAAATATAGCTAAAGCTGGCCCCACCACTTGAATCTGCTGTTTGTGTTAGCTTCAGCTCACCATTGAGAGAGTGTGGCAGTATCCCCAAATTTTATAGAACCCCTCCTCACTGCTTGACCTTTGCTTCATTGGCAGCCTATACTCCATGCAAGTTATCTGAGAGGAATATGTAATATTAAGTTCTTATTGGCTAAAAAGTTTTAGGTTGGTAACAAATGGTGTTTCCCATGAGGCTATCAATTGGACAGCCCGATTAGGACCATCTTCACCACCATGGGAGATTTATTACATTGCTCTCTTCACTACTGATTGAATATAAAAAAGATTTCAAATTTGAGCTCCTAAAAAATCTCAAGGGGCCTATGGGAGATGATAATGTGTAATCCTTTTTCAAGAGCAGCTATTTAGAATCCATTGGACTGCCTGGGTTGCAATGGGCCATACCCTTCTAGGGATTCCCCCAATCTCACGCTTCTTATTTGGCACTAAGTAAATGATCTGGCACCATTCTCCAAAGAAGCTGTATTCAATATCCACTCCGTATCTATTTTTTTTTCACTCTTGAAATTCTTTGAGCCCCTTTATTTAGATTACAAGTTCATGAGGAAAGGGCACAAAATTGTGTTCTGAGGAGTTCAAGGCTCCCTTAGAAAATACATTCCTGTGATCTCTGTCTCATGCTTTGCTGTAGTATCTAGAACACAGCTCAGTTCCTCCGTCAAAGCGTCACCTTATGCCATATGTTTTCTTTGCTGAGAATGTGGAAATCCTGCTTTGAAAACTACTCAGAAGCTTGCAGTGGAAAATATCCTAAGAGGTCTTGAGTCAGTACCTGTGTATCTATGTTGTGAATTCTTTTTTTTTTTCTTTCCATTTTTTTTTAATTTTTATTAATTACACTTTATTCACTTTGTATCCCCCCATGGCCCCCTCCCTCCTCCCCTCCCAATTCTATCCTCCCTCTTCCTTCTCCACACATGCCCCTCCCCAAGTCCACTGATAGGGGAGGACTTCCTCTCCTTTCTTCTGATGCTAATCTA